CGCTGGTTTGTAAACCTGTGACAAGGTCGGAGTGTCGTAGCCTCTGCTACTTCGCACTGGGAAAATCCAGCAGACGTTAAGGGTGGCTGTTGCTGATGTATTTCTGCTTCGTATAGCATATGTTTAAAAATAAATGCAGGCCCTTCTTGGTAACTGTAGCGAACTGTCAAAGCTAATGTATTTAATAGTGTAGCCAATATAAGAGTTAATAATAAAGGATAAAATTCAGCCTTTATACAAGTTTATGTAAAACAGTAGAATTATTATTTGCCTATATCAACTGGATTTGGCAGAAAGGTAGGCAGGTGGGAGATTTTTTTTTTTTTTTTAGAGGGAGAGAGACTTTTTCATCTCTGCTCATCCAAAGTAGTTGTCTTTGCTTTCAGGGTTTATTTGAAGTAGTCGAATGACTCCTTTGCAGCGGGGAAGCTGTTTGCATAGTGCTGTCAGCGACGTTCCTTTCTTGCTATCTCCGTCTCGTGGAAGTGAGGCTCGTGCGAGAGCAGGGGATGGGAAGAGGCTGTATTTTACACAGAACTTGTGCCTCAGTTGGCTGGCTGAATTTTTCTGGTGGTTTTATGTTGATGAAGAATGCTCTTAAGGTGGAAAACAAAGCTGTAATTCTCTGGAGTTAACTGTCAGGGTACAATTTTAATTCAGGAAGCTTGAGACCTGCGTGATCCGTTCTTGTTAGTACAAGCTTTTTCTGCTTTTAGGTCTCCCGATCAACAGAGAGCTAAAGATAAGGATCTTATATTTTTGGCATGAAAAAGAGCACAGTAAGAGTTTGATGAACAGACACTTTTACAATAAAACTCTTCTGTCTCATTGAAACTGTAGATTGCTAGCTATTACATGACACTGAACAGTTTGCCTTTCAGTATTATCCCACAGTGACTTAAATGTGATGAGGCCTTAGAAAAGATTGAATAATTTTAATTTTACTTTTTCACTGGGATCTGAAGCCATTGTGTTTTATTTTGAGGTAAATTATCCTATTTATCTTGTCTGCATAAATACCTTTATGAATAATGCAAGAAGCTGTGATGGTAAAAGTAAAAAATTACAGACCTGTCCTTAAAGGACAGGATTAACATCCTGCAAGAGCTTATTCAAAACCAACCGGTGCCTTTATTCCACAATACAAAAATGTGCCATTTTTGAGCTTTTGCAAAGCCATTATATCGGAGTGTTGCCAGACCCGTTAACAATTCTGTACTAATGACAGTTAAATAACCGAGTGGGGTAAAAGCATGCAAGGGAACAGTCTGTACAGGATCTCATTTTCCACGGATGCTGTATGAAGGCTTAAATGAAAAAATTGCAAAAATAGTTCCACGGGTAAGAGCAGCAATGTCTTATGTTGAATTATGGCTAGAAATGAAAAATATTTCACTTAATGCAAAGGTAGTGCAGATATTTAGATGAAGACTACAGAAGCAAATTAAGGTTATGGGAAATTTTCATTTCCCAAGGAAATTGAGGGCAGGCAAGACCCAGAGCATGGGAACACAGCCAAAAAATGTCCACCTTCTGTTTCCTGTGGCCTGTGTCATTACAGAGTTTCTGAACAGGTTTTTCTGTGCCCCTTGGAAGAATGATTATAATTTTCATACTGTTTTCACTCTCAGGTCAGAGGTATACACTTTCATTTCAGCTTAGCGTAGCTTTATGAAGAAAGTGTATATAACATATTCTGGTAAGCGTCTGCACACACAAAACACCCATGCACACACAAATAGTGCATGTATAGCTCAAATTCTATAGCAAAACCCAAACCCAGACTTTGATAGAAAGATATTCATCCTGAGGTAAGTATGAAAATGTAGGGCTAGGATCTAAAGATGAAAAGCAAAGATGAAGAAAGGTAAATTGATTCTAATTCCCTGAATTGGCCATTATGTATAGCAACATCTTCCCATGCAGAGATGTCTTCAGAAGCCATAGTATGTCCAGATGGAAATGATCTGTTAGGTGAACTAAGTAATGTTATGGTATATGATAAACCATTTTATAAAGCTGTTATTTGAAGTTCCCTCTTGGGATTAGGAGCATCTTAAAACATTCTGAGTTTCTAAAACAAATCCATAATATTTTCGTATACCTGCAGAGATACGTTTATACATCCGTAGGCGAAGCTTACAGACCTAATCATAATATTTTCTCCCCTTTTGCTCTTTGTGTACATCATTTTAAGCATGGGAATGAGAAACTGCAATGTATTAGACAAGCATGGGGCTGGTAATGACGTGTTGCCGAAGGAATAGCAACTGGCTGCAGACGCAGGGGAAGGGTTGCTTCCCCATTGCCCTCCCTGCACCGTCAGCCTGGCCCATCTCCAGCACTCATACACACATGCACGCACGCGTGCGGGAGAAGGCTGGCCTGTGAGGAGCAAGGAGGAGTGCTGAGTTCAACCTGAAGAGGAGCAAGGCACCTCCCGTAAGCTGGAAATGGCTCTAGGAGAGGAGAGGCAGTGGTAGGGAGCAGAGCTTGAAGGATTTTTTTACTGGTTACTTCTGCATCAACAGTGTCTTTTGTGGCAGATTTTCCCAAAGCAGCCTGCCCAGCATCTCCATTTTCCTCATCCTCTCTCGCTGGCGTGGGTAGGCCAGTGCTGGCGTAACTCCACTGTTTAAGAAGATCAAGGAATTAAAGGAAGAACCTATACAACTGAAAGCAAGTCCATTTTTCCAGCTCTGCTGGTTTAAGAAATTGGTTTGTTTCTCCCTAAACATTGGTGGACAGAAGCTATAGACAGGTATGGTACTGCCACAATAAAGTCTTGAAATAGTTCTGTGTGTTACTTTATTTTTTGAGATAATCTAGAGAGGCTTGTACATTGATGCTCTTCTTCCATTAAGTAACTGCTGCTTAGTTCTGGTATCCTGGCAGAGAGGCTTTCTGAGAAGTAATCTACCAGTCAATTAGTATCCTACACCATGAGCCTAAATCAAATACACTTTCAAAAGGGCTCAAGTTTAGAAATGAACTTTAGGAAAACTCTATTGATTTTGTAAATTAAAAATGTAAAATTGAATGGATAGAGGTCAGTAGAGGACTGACCCAAGGAAGCAATCTTTAAACAGGAACATACTCTGATTCAACACTGGGGAAGGAGAAGAAAGCAAGAAGAAGGATTCATTTGCAATTGACCTGCAATAGCAAAGTCATTCACTTTCCAAATAGGATTAAACTTGTTCCATCAGCCATGACATGTGAAAAGATCATGGTTATAAATTCCATTTGCTGTAATGAATTGAAAGTGTCTGAGTTTGCAAGAAGCACTCATTGTTGATGGACAGCTAGATTTGTGCAGTGTTTTAACACTAAAATTAGCTTCTACAAAATAAAAAGTACAGAAAAGGTGGCAGCAGTGACAGATTTTAAAGCATAAAAAAATTGACTTTATTGGTAGATGGAAGCCGAATAAAGCTAGAAATAAATAGTGGTTATAACCCCGCTATGTAGATCACTTGCTTCGTTCTTAAGTGAGGGTCAACACAAAACTGGGAAAAGGCATTTATTTAGGTTTCTCACCATATTTCAACAAGGATAAATATTGTTACTTAAATGAGGAAAAATCAAACTTTTCTATGGTATTGCTTGTAAGATGTACGAAAATGGAATTGTATTGAAGGATGCTTTGTTCAAATCAATTTTAGCGTGCATCAACATGACTCCACTGCAGTCCATGAAACCATATTGGTGTATGAATTTCTAAATTGAGATAGAAGCTACGCTCTGTGGTTACTTGATAACCTTAATGCAGTCTTGCATCAGGATCATGAGACGTCTGTAGTTTGATGCTTGCAGAACTAAATGGAGTTTCAGAACCTCTTTTCCCCAAAGTTTTTGTGTCTTACACAATTTTATGAACATTTTACATGTGCCAATTGCCAAGAAAAAATCTTAATAGGTAAAAATGGCTAATATTTTTGAATAGCTTGAGATTCATTTTTATTGATAAGATACCCAGCTGAAAACTATCCAAGATTTAAAAAAAAAAAAAAAAAAAAAAAAAAAAAAAAAGCTTGAGCTAAACAGAGGAACGAAAATATAATAGCTTCTTAAATTACTGCAAGGTTAACATATAATTAATTTGCTAATTTTAATTACAACCCTACAAAATGTGCTGAAAAATGCTCAAAGGGGAGAAGCAGCCAGGTGCCAGCCATGATTAACCAAGGTTACCAGCAATTATGAGGTCTCTATTAACCATGTTACAGAAATTTGAAAAACTCTTTTGTAAGACCAGCGTATTTATTGAAACACAGCAGGGTTTTCGTCTTGCTGTACCTGTCCCTTGCTACAGCCTGGCTGTCATTTGCTTCACTCTTTTCCAGCTAAACGTTCTATTGCAGCTGAAAGACGACTGCTTTTTCTGTTTGTCACACACTGTTCTGCAGGTACTAGGTATTTATTTTGGTCATCTAAACAAAAGAGATTAAGTATTGTTTGCAGAGTGCTCTGAGCACCTTTAGTGCCAGATAGCTGCAAATATCGCAGCCGAACATTAGAAACACAAATCCTGAAGAAGATGCTTTTTCTTTCCAAGGTGTCCTGGGACGTGCAGTTTGTAAAGCAGGAACACTGCTGAAACTGCTTGTTCAGTGGAGAACCTTTCCTGCAATGCTTCATATGCACAAGGCAAACCTAACTTCTGAGTTAAAGACAAACAAAGAACAAAAAAACCCTGCATGTTTGCTTTGAATTTTAAACAAATCATGGTGCAAACAAATGTCTTGTATGTATCAAATGCCATGATGTATTATTGTTCTTTTTCATTGTTGTTTAGGTGAATCGTGTTTTAAGTGTCTGTTGTTTGGAACCGTAATAAACCTTGATCCATCTATTAAAGGAAGACTTGAAAAAAAAAAAAAAAAAAGAAAAAACAAGAAAAAACCAACAAGATAAAAAAAAAAAAACAAAACAAAACTAAAGCATTGGTGTCAAAGGAAATTAATTTCCTGGCTGGCTTGTGTTTTTCTCTGAGGCAGATATTGATGAGTGTGCAGAGGGGATCATTGAGTGTCACAACCATTCACGCTGTGTTAACCTCCCAGGGTGGTACCACTGTGAGTGCAGAAGCGGTTTCCATGACAATGGAAGCTATTCTCTTTCCGGGGAGTCCTGTGTTGGTAAGCAATGATCAGCATAGCGCTTTTTTTTCCTCCTTCTGCATGGTATTATAAAGTGACTATTGAGACACTGTCCTGAGCAGTTACTGTGTTTAAAGGCTAAAATGAGAATGCAAGCGAGCGTCTGTGTTTGTCAGCATCCCAGCCATGCGGCGTGGGTGCCAGTTCAAGGCACGTCGCATTTTTGAATGGTTATTACAGGAGGGAGGCAGTCGGAGCATCCAAAGTGTGACTTATTGTGCTTTGCCATTTATCATAATAAGTTGCTGTAAAACCTGAAGCGAAAGTAGGCTTTCTGGGGAGCGTAATAGGCCACAAAAGGGGAAGAGCTGATTTTCCATTTTCAAATTTCAGCAGAGCGATACGAGAACGCATTTGGGGTATGTCCGTGTTGCTTTGATTTGTTTGTTTTGCGTTATTTGGCATCTTCATCATTTTATTTTTAGAATTATGCAAATAGCATCAATCACTGTATGCACCATATTTGCAGAATAAAGCCCTAAGAGCACAATCGCAAAGGAATTTTTAAAGGGTGCAGAGGAGTTGGTTGGTTGTTTCTGTGGGAGGACGAAGGAGGAGGCTTCGTGAGGATTCAGTGCTGGTTCTTGCAGTCTGGTTGCCCTCGACTGGCTGTAAGAGTTTGTGTGCCACTACAGCAAGTAAGCAGTAATAAAATCACAGGGAAGATGATAATTGTGCCTTTCCACCTTTTTACTTACTCTCAGAAGCCTTATATATAATTCCTGTATGATATTTTATCAGAGGAGTTTAAAACTATTTAGAAAGGAACCCTTTTAAACTTCTATAGAGAAACAGATCAACGTCTCTTATTTCTATGTCCCTTCTTTGGAATTTCAGTTACTTCATCTCTACTCAGTTCTATGAGTTTTCTATAAAAGCTTTTCTGCTTCTTCTGTCAAAGAGGCTTTTTTAACACTGTAAATGTCATTTGTCATATCTATAGGTGCAAAGGGCTCTTTCTAAGATTAAAATATACAATTAAAGTAAAATTTAAAATAAAAATTTATAGAAAAATGTATAAATTTACTTGTAACTTGTAACAAACATACCCATCTTTTAAAAATCTTGGCTATTACGAGACCTTGGGAAGAGATAGCATCATGATTTAAAAATGCAGAGGAACAATAATTATTTTCAAACCCAATATTTTGTAGATCGTCCAGTTATATTAGCTTTTTGCACATTGTCCTAAGCTGACAGGGAGCTCAATAAAATCACAGCAGCGAACTTCATTGGGGTGGCTGTGTAAAAAATGGCAAATTCTACAGCATTTTGTGACTTAAGAAATAAAACACCACGTGAAGGTCATATATTTCTAAACAGATTCCCTAATATTAAGAGTTCTCCTTTGGTTTATTTAAATACCATAAAAGGAATGACAGAGGGAGCGATGTTGGAAATACTTGCTTTGTGAGAAGTCAAAGCAACATGATGTAACCTTCAAAAAGCCCTGAGGCAACCTGGGGATAAGGGGCATTTGTAGCGCTCCAGGTGCCTACCTGTACTGCTTGCACAGGGAACCACGTTCCTTGCCCAGCTGACCTTACGTAGCTGTTCTGGGACAAAGATGATCTAGGGCTCAGGCTGGTCTTGGGAGAAGACAGGTAGATAGACAAGACTGTGGTTTTGAATGGCCTGTAGCTAGGGTCAGTTGCTGTAAAGGTCAGTGTTGCTTACATTGCGTCTCTACTAAACAGAAGGGCACTTGGCTACCTCACAGGAAAAAGGAGCCCAAAATGTTCCCTATTCTGTGGAGATGGAAGGGATGAGGTTTTGTGAAAAGAAACTGCCCTCGTTTTGACCTCTGCAGCATGCTGGAAGTTCGTAAGGTGAGGTGCTCATCTTGCCATATGCAAGTTGTAAACAGAATGTGAAATTAGTGAGGTTATTTTGACTAAATAGCTTTTCTGAACCATCTGCTGCAGGGTACCAGCGAGGAAGAGAATAAACCAGTTTATTTTATTTCATTATACTGGTTAACCAATTAAAAATTAATTGAAAGATTCTGCTTGCCCATACTGACAAAGAAATTTCAAACCATGATGTTTATTTTAAAGGGCAACTAAGAATTGGTCAAAATGACTGATAGATAACACTAAACATTCTAGCTAAAACTCGGTTTCTTGAACGCTGACTTTCATCACGTTACAGAGCTTGTTTGCATGGTGGAGTATTTAGAGTCAGGGCCAGAGTCATGCACACTATTTCAGATAAAAGAGGGTTTGTGTGCTTAGCAACAGCATTTTGTCCGGGCATATTTTACAGACTCTATACTGAAATCCTTGTATGTACCTGAGGTGGATTTGGGCCACTGCCCTTCGGTATGTTTGGAAACCTTTCTTCTCCATCCCAGGAGGACAAAACTCGGAGAACAAATAAATAGGCTAAGAATATAAGTAAAAAAAGATTAACATAGCTCTGCCACCAATAATAATAATAATATATGAAAATCATAAGGCAATGGGAGGGAGCCCTCAGCTCTGACAGATTGCCCAAAGCCCAGGCAGCCAGTTGCTTTTGCTTGATGCATTTGTGTATCTCTTGGTTAACCCCCTTTCCCTCTGGTTATATGTAGGTGGTCCTGGAGCTGAATCATTGCTCACGGTGTCTCTGCAGTGCTTGCAGAACATGAAAAAAACTAACGTCTGTTTGAGAAGTGATGCGGTACCTTAGTGCTTCTAAAAGCTTTTTTCCCATTGACTATGAGAAAATAGTGAAGTTTGTTGCCTGGCAAGGGACAAATGTGTAAATCAACAGATGTGTCAGGGAAGGTCATGATTATTGCACCGGAGCTTGTGTAATAAAGATGTATGGCTTAGCCAGGCCCCTTCAAGCTTGGGAAAATTCTTTTATTGCTCAAAATATCAACTGAAGGCAGCTTTGAAAAGGGAATATATTTCCATGGACGTGTTTTTCTAAAAGATGTCGGCTGCATAAGGTGATGGCAAGCGGGCTCAAATTAAGAGAATGTAATTTAATTTCCAGCACTAGCATTTTTATGAGGCACTGGCCTTTCACAATGTGTTATTAAGAATACTGCTTGCAGACAAAAGACAATTGCTATACTAAGTTGCTACCAAAGTTTGCCTGGCAATTAGAACATGTAGGCTATAGTTGCTAGGTTGTTGGGTTGGGTTTTTTTTTTTTCTTTCTTTAATAGGAGCTTTGCCACACTTAAAGGTAAACAAACAAAAATACTTTATAGAGAACTATGAGTTGTCACATGATACATATCCCAGTATCAACTACTACCGACTGATGCCATATTGAAGCAACTGGCATACGTTGTGTTTTCCCTGCACAATGTACCTGTTGCCAAATACTGCTACCTCGTAAGGTGAGCACTGAATAAACCCTCACCACTGAATTTTCAGTGATAACCTTTAAAATTATCAGAACCAAAAGAAGGGTAAAAGAAATGGCAAAGAAATGCTGGGAAGTTAATAAAGTCTCACAAAACTCGCTCCTATCTAGAACAGAAAAATAAAAGCAAATTAAATTCTACTTTTTAATCTCCATCTCTCTTTTAAGTGAGATGCTTCTGGTCTGTAGAGCGCTGCTCAGATGCTGGAGTGCAGAATTCCCGATTCCATTTTTTTCATGTTTCTGAGTCTCTATGTTGTGACTTGCAGGCACAGAAGGAAGAACAACCAAGGCAGCAGTCCCTGGCTGCTGCTGCTGTTGTTGTTGTTGTTATTATTATTACTTTCTTTAAGAATCAGTGCAAATTTTATAGGGAAGCTTAACACAGACCTTCCTCCTACCAAAACCCACAGGACTCACCATGTGTTTCATCCTGAAAGGTTGCATCACTGGACCTCACAGCAGGGTTAGAGTAGCTGTGGGGAAATGAGAGCTGGAAAAAGGCAGGAGTCAGCGGCTTGTGAGAGAGACCTCCACATGTTGGGCTCCTCCAAAAGCCAGGTGCAGCTTGAGGGTCAAGTCTGAATGGGTTTAAAATAAATTCCTGAAGCTTTCATATACTCCATAGTATGCCACAGTGTTGTCTGTTCCCTAGATTAGAAAGTAAGAGAAATGGAGGTTTGTTCTTTGTTTATTTTGACCCCTTTCTGTGTCAAACAAAAAGCTTGACCCATCTTTTGAAAATCTTCCTATATGCTTTTCTATCTATCATTAGAGAAGTGGTACCTAGAGAGAAATGTTTGTGTATGATACAGAGCGTCCAAGACCAACTCTAGAAGCTACTGGTTTATGACTTTCTTCTGTTCTGCTCATAGAATTTCTTACAGCTCCTATCATCAGCATCTGTGTGGATTTTATCCTGCAAAATAAAAACTATCTTGCTTACTTTCCATTTAGTAAATGCTGATTCTTGTATTCTGAGAGAAAGTTGCATTACCTGCCTTCAAGATAACTGTGTTTAGTCATTTCTATATTTCTAGAAACCATTAGTAAATCCTATATTCAGAATCTAATTTACTATGCAGTGTTCTTTAGTAGACCATTCTGGTTTTACAGAATAAAAGTACTATCATAAAATATTTTCTAATTCAAACTGAATCTGTTCAGTGATTTTTTTTTTGTATTTTTTTTTCCCAAAGACTAGTCCAAATCACTTGGATTTAGAAAGACGGCAAATACATTAAGTGACAAGTTGCCTGTGAAAAATGATATGTCAAAACAGTGTTTAGTTAACTTGTACATACATTGGTTTGGGAGCCCAGCATCCATTTTTCACATTAACATTATACTGTAATGGTTTAATGTACCATAACAGTTAAAATTAGCACATTAGTAGGGTTCTTTCTTCTGCAACAGCTTATCATGATATTACAGAGCACCACACTGCATGACTTGCTTGCACACATTTATTAAGGTGCTATGGAAAAGTCATACCATTAAAACCTGAATAGCCTTGAAAACTAGGAAATGAAGTAGCTAGGGATTGGTTTAAAATTTCAGTGAAACCAAGTTAATGAACTTGGGTTGATATGTACAGTCATGCTTGTCTTCTACCCCATTCAAACACAGTGGCCATGGGACCTCTCATGATATCCGAGGCAAATTACTTCTCGTTACAGCCAAAAAGGATGGAAAAGGAAATTGCATCGCAGGGGATTATTCTATTCCATTTTGATTCTGATTTCTTGTCTGTCTGCATTACCAAGCTATCTTTGTGTACTTTGAGAGTATACTGGGAAATGAGCACGTCTTGGGTGGTTTGTTTTTTCTTTTCCCATCCACAAAATGTGACTAGTTGCATTGCGGCTAAAATACATATGATCAGTACTTGTTGCTGTACATTTGTTTAAAGAAACGCAGCTTAGGAGTGTTTGAAGAGTGAAGATCTTCACCACTTTTAAGGTAATCCCGTGCAATATTTGAGGTGGTGTGTCTTGGCAACGGTCACTTTGCCGTTGGCTATATCTTGTTGACAGAAAATATCATAAGGCCAGCATTACGAGCAAGTTTCTGATTATGATCATTTCCACTATATCCTCACATTTCCTTGGAAAGGAACTGTGTGGAGCTGGGAAGTAAAGCTCTGCCACTTTTACTTGTGTTAATTAGTAGTTTACGTCACAGATGATCTCAATATAATGAATAAGATTGCAAAGTCCTGTTCCAGGTGTGAAAATGAGATTGTTTTCACAGGCTGACAGGATGCAATGAAAGAACTAATCCCCCCCAAAAGTCAAGACAGATATCTTGTTCTTGAATGTACTTGTCCGTTGGTTGCTTTGTTTATAAATATTTCGTCTTCCTCCTACCTAGTGTTGTTATAATGAGAAATAAGATTTGTGTACAGTTTTGCCTTGCCCAGCATTAAATGTTCCAGTTTTGGGCCCGCATCTTCTGAAGGCAGTTGTGGAAACGCAAACAAAACCTGAGAGGAATGTGGGGAATTTGAGCTGAGCAAGGATTTGAATAATATAAAAATAATCTATAAGGAAGAGTCTTATCATACAGTTTTGACATTCATTAGGAGATTGTTTCGGACATGTTTGGAATTTTAAACTAGGCTAATTTTTCAACACCTAAGTAGAGACATTGATTCCTGTTGTTAAGAGAAATTTCACACTAAATAAGAGTACTTTCTCCCATATTTTGCGTAGCCATCTACATGCTGATCTCATGTCAGTATGAGTGAGTCCATTTGATCTCCATTAAACTGAACTACTTTCTTGAGCTACCAATATAGGAACATTTGCCTGGCGGTTTTTTCCTTCCTCACACCCCAAACTGACTTGAGGCTGAAAGAGTGAAAGGGACAAAAACATGTTACACTTATAACTTCTTTTTCTGAAGTTACTGGGAACACTGGCTGTTTGTTCTGACTTTTAAAAATGCAATCAACAACAAGAAAAAACTGCCAAAGGGATGTTCTCCGAAAATCAGCTCTATTAAAAGTTCAGCGGGAAATGAGTGTACTGTCCAAGCCTTTTATATTTGATTAATGACTAAAACTTTTAAATAATAAATGCCATAAAATAATAAGTAACCATCATTTGCATAAAGAACGAAAAAAACCGAGCAAACTGAGCAGCAATTAGGAATTTATGTTCACGCTATGTTACTCAGCTTTGCTTGATTGGTTCCTTTGTCAAAAATGTCCCATTTACCAGTTTGGGCTGCTCTTAATGGGAGCATCCTTTTTGTGTGTGCTAAACGGAGAACAGCAGCAGCAGTATGTAAATAGGGTGTTCTTCCCTTTTGGATATGTATAACAGATTAAGTTGGCTTTGTGCAGTGTGAACAGGTCTGTACTATTGAGAATATGAATAATGTTAGTTTTTATAATTGCTAGCATCTGGCTTTCCATAAATCTGTTAAATTACATGGAAACAGAATTAGATTTCTGTGTCATAAGTAAAGCAATTACGTGGAACTCTGTAGGCAATATGGCTTTATATTCATCTGTGAAATCCTTTTAGTTTTGAACTGTGAAAGCTACTCTTCTAGTCTGCACTGTGATCCTGCTACATCCTCTCTATATATGCTACTCAGGGAGCCCCTAATATGGTGGGGAAGAGAATATTGACCATGCTTCATGAAATCACCAAAGACAAGGTGAATGCTTCATTTATACCTTTGTCTTCAACAAAATACAAGTCAAAGTCTATTGAAAGGAAAATGGGATGGTTTTAAGAATACGTTTTAGAGTAGCGGTTGGGGTATAATTCATTTCATAGCAGTTCATTCATAGCTCTCTTCGTGTCACTCTTTATGGTTTTTACCTCCTGTGATACTCTGGCGCTTGTTAAGCAATGAATTACAGATTTTAATTTCTCTTCGTGCTGTGCCTTTTACACCACTGGTAGTGGACCTTTCAGTAGCGCTAAGCTATGCGTTTAAGCAATAATACTTCTTGGCATTAAGACTGTCAGGGGAGAAAAATATACTGTTTTTAGGGAAGTCTGAGCGACAAGCAATTAGATCGTGCTGTCAGGCCACTGGGAACATCTCTGACAAAAGACTGGCCCACAGGTTAGCCCGGGAGCGAAGCCCTTCTGCAGCATCATTGCCTCCAGCTTCCCTTCGGGTCTACAAGCAGAAAGAGGAACGGCTGTTTTCTGGTGGCCTGGGCCCCTGACTCGGTTGTGCAGGCTGGTTTTGCATTTGATCAAATCCAAGGGCACTACCACATTTCCAGTCGTTCCTGGACAATTTATGAATTGAAATCAGGAATTTTACTAACCAGGTCAGAGGGAATTTAGTGATGTCATTGTTATAGAGAGTTTCCATCAGCAGATGGAGAGAATTAACATCTAAAATTCTGGTTTTCTGAGGAGATGGCTTGTAATGGAGAGAATTAACATCTTCTAAAATTCTGGTTTTCTGAGGAGATGGCTTGTGAACCCATGGCAGTCATTCAAAAAGTAGGGCAACTAGGTATCACATCCCACCTAGATTAGACTTTAGGTAATTTTCTTTGTAAATTCTATTGAATTTTTTGTTTGTTTGTTTTAGAAAGGAATTAAAAGCACTCTTGAATAATATTGAACAGTTATAAATTTCACACTAGCCATCAGGTAATTTTAAATGGTAAGTGTGAGGATTCTTCCTTGTAATTTCTATATAATAGCATTCTTGAAATTTTGTGATAGAAACCATCACATAGTTCTAAAGGATTTTCTCCTCCAGCCTTCCTCCCACTGTTGCTTCTAGTTTTCATTGTTCGTGTTGGAACAAGGAGACCCACCAGTTTACTGGTATTTTATCTGGGCAATCTGTCAATATATTGCTTAAGAACAGTCCAAAGTTATTTTCTGAAAGAAATACCTGGTTTTCACAGTGTACTTAAAAATCTAATGGCTTTCACTGCAAGAAAAAGAATCCTTAGATAAATTCATATTGCATAATTATATTTTAGCCTCCAAAAGCAATTTTAATGGGATACTGTAATTCATTTTTCCCTAGTGTACAATGATTTTCTTTTGTGTCATTGCTAAATCATACTTTTCCTGCATAGCTTTGTTCTAAGACTTTTTTTTCTTATCTATATATAAGGTGCCTCTGATTTCTTTTATTTCTTTTTCTTTTTTCTTTCTTTTTTCTTTCTTTTTTTTTTAATTCACTTACACCTTCCAACCTTGGGAAAAGGATGCAAATGACTGCTTTCAGTATGGGAAATGTTGATCATGCTAGGAATTTACAGAGAATAGTGCACTTCTATTTTGGTGTAAAATCCAGAACAGAGAGTGGTTTAATTGACAGAAAGTCACTCTGATTGTTTGCTAGTTCCCAGTCGCTGGGAAATCACTATACAGCCTTGTTCTTGTCTAAAGGTTCAAGTTCATCATTGATAAACAGTTCCACTAGGTATGTCAGTCCCAGCATTTACAATTAAGCCTGCTGGAGATAGTTTAAGAATTTTTGGTGGAAACAAAACAAACACTGAAGAATAACCTTAAAAAAAAAAAAATCGGTGTTTAATGTCTAGCAAGTAAATACGGAAGATATCAGAAAGAAAGCACCCTCTTCCAACCAGCAAGGCAGATGAGCAATAATTACTTAATAAAGAAATAAAATTTGCCCTGTGAAACAAAATGTCCAAAGCATTATAAATCTGCTGTTTTGCAGATATTGATGAGTGTGCCTTAAAGACTCACACCTGTTGGAACGATTCAGCCTGTGTGAACCTGGCAGGAGGGTTTGATTGCCTTTGCCCGTCCGGACCATCTTGCACTGGAGACTGTCCCCATGAAGGCGGCTTCAAGCGGAACGGGCAGGTGTGGACCCTGAGAGAGGACAGATGCTCCGTTTGCTCCTGCAAGGTGAGATCCAGCTGGTCTGGGTTTCAGGAGTCCTTTAATTCTCTGGGGTCATGTCAGAAACCAAACATTGCAGTGCCACTGGTGTTGGCAAAAATACTAGCCTAAGCGCAAGGCACTGAGGCAAAAGGTAAGCTCTGCTGTGGGCAGTGAAACTCTGATGGCGAAATTCTTCTGGGAATTCATCTTTTTTGTTATTTTGCGCAACCACAGATGCAGCTGAATAATGGCTAATCCTGCTGAGCTTCTACCCTGTCACCCTATGGGCCAGAGCCACTCGGAGCATGCCTTGATGAGGGTCTTGCGTTACCCTGTAATGGAATGTGCAGACAATCAGCATGCTTCCTTGGAAATGTTGAAAACTGTTTTCAGTTTCTCTTTCACATGCATATGCATCTCTCGGGACAAGTACTGTACCCAGCCAGATTCTGTTGGTGGGGTTTCCCTTTACTTGGAACACATGTGAATTAACTGGGTGAGAAGGAAGGCCTGAGCATGAGTCAAAGGTTAGAAGACCTAGCAGCAGGCCCTTAATTTCCTCAAATGAAGGAAGGTGAAGGCCAGCCTTCTCCTCCTCATTCCAGCTTGGCAGTGTGGCTGCTCTCCCACTTGAGCAGTGCAGCTCTCTGCAGCTTTGGAGAGCCAGGCATAGTGTAAGTAGATCTACTTTAGTTAACACTTAGATCAGTTTTTTGTTTTTTTTTTCTCCCCCTGGAAATTATCAGTTCTTTTCTGAGTGTGGTAGTCAAGTTAAAAGAACATTTGACTCCACTTTCTTCATTTTCACTGGTTAAAAGAGGAGTGCTGTCAGTGAAATTAGAAGAATTTTAGAAATGCACCATCTGACAAACGGTTGGTCTTTTATGGCCACTTAGACCTGAGCCCTTCATAGCACCAGTAAAGCTGTCCTTAGGCACAGCAGAACTCTATTGGCCCTTGCATAGGTCTAAAATGAGATTTTGGCCTCTGTGAAAAGCTGAACATAAAGCATGAGGAGTGGCCTATTGGTCTCCATGTCTTAACGCTGATGAGCCACAGAAGCATTAAAGGGGAAGTGGGGGGGTGGGGGGAGTTGTTTTGAAGTTGCAAGAAGCTGAAAGCCTCATAATTTCTGTATTGCAGTAGTGTAGCAGAAGGGAAAATCAAGACTTTAGAGTGAATAGACCCCGCAAAGTACACTGCTGTTTTGGGCTCAAAAGGGAATATGTTCTTGTTAGTGGCTGTATTTTTTACTTCAAGTAGCCTCAAGCTCCCTAAAACTCCTCCCTTCAGAAGCTGAAGTGTACAACTCCACTGAATATATATCAAGCTTTTATTGTAATCTTGGGGAACTGGCTGGCTTATGAAAGGATTTCCAGTCAATAGAATAAACAGTTTAATATATGTGAAGACATCTGGTCTGCCTTTGCAGAATTATAACTATTAGTATGCCCTTTTTAGATTGCTTGTAATTTGTTTTATTTGCCATTTCTCATTGCGCTTATTCCTTATGTTGAATGTTCTTATTAGTATATGAAAATATACAAAATGATTAACTGGTACATAGATATTTTAAACTAAGCCTGGCACTGTTTGTTGCTATGACTCTTCCTTTATATCTTCCTCACGTTCCAGTTTTTGTTCCTCTGTGAATTAACATTTACATTTAATTTCACTCCAGTAGCTGCTTTGTTTCAAGAGCCAAATTCTTGCCTATAGAACAGGGAGAGCTTCTCCTCTATCACATCCCAAGCAGGATGTAAAGTCTCCCCTCAGTGCTTATTGAAGTATGTTATTGAAACGTATTTTTATAAATGGTGATGGCTTCCAATACACCAGGCTACTCCTCAAACCTGCTGCAGGACTTTATCCTTTCCATGCCGTTGCATGGAGAGCTGGCCCTGCTTGACCTTTTTGAAGCCTGCTTGGTTTTCACAGAGGAAAAGGGCAGAGTATAACTAAATCATTCCTTATATTTCTTACGTGAACTTTGAAATGATCCTGCTCACTTGTTTTATCTAGGAGACAAATCAGCATTTTGGATTTAAAATAACATGTTTTCTTTTGGCTTTTCTTTTGTTATGGCTTGTTTTGGAAAGGTCAGATGGCTTTATTATGTGCATCTTGAAAATATTTTAACTTAAAATGGTGCAAAGGAAATTAAATACCTTACTTAACTTTGAAATTCATTAAGTAAGGTTATTTGTGGAGTAGGATACTGCGGAATATGAGAAATTATATTACTTCAGTTATATGATGAAGCCAAATGTCATGATTGAAGCACAGGGGAGTATTTCAGTGTTTCATCAGACCCTGTCTCTTCAAACCATCCTCAGTGATCTGAGTAAATATAAAGTTTACAAAAACAAATTTTCAAACCTATAAAAGAATACAGTAACTTAAGTATATTTGATGTGTCTTCTACAGGCATCTTCCTGAACTCTTGTGGATTTAATACACAAGACTGGTAGAAATCTGATGAGGGTGGGGAGCTGTTTCTCTCTCTCTCCCATGAAAAAAACTGAGCCTGGCCGTACAGTCTGACTATATCTGGGCTTCTGAAGCTGTCCTCTTGATTAAGACAACCCTCCTCCATCCCCTGCAGGAAAAAAGCCAGGGGGATAAGCACAGCACTGGGAAAAGGGGGATGTGCCAAGGAGCAGCGTGTTCCTGATGGTGGGAACGGTTTGGTGGTTTGGTTTCTGCAGGGTCTGATTTCTGTCCAGATTGGCTTTGGGGGCTCTGTGGAAACTTGAGTCACCCTTTACAGCGATTCCCTTGTGTGTCAGTTTTTTCTTTGGTAAGAACAATTTTGTGTTTGTACCACTGATGCTTATGAAGCATGTAGGACCGATTCAGAGAGGAAGGCGGGGAGGGAGAGGTACTAATAAGATGCTATATGTTATTACCCACTGAAAGAAAATAAGTTGCTTTCTATGTATTTCTCAATTTTTTATGTATTTCTCAATGCTACTTTAGAGCTGCAAAGATGCAAGTCAGATGTTGTAGCTTAAGAGGCTTTGTGTCACTGCAGTATAGGGATAAAAATGTTTTTTGAAAGGCATGGAACTAATGAGGTTGTAGATAAAGCACAGATGCTTAAAGAATAAAGAGAGCAGCAGTGTATTATGATTACCAAAAGGTCTCTGGCAAAATCATCGGGCTTTGTCAGTGTTCTGAAATGCAGAGAGTAAAGGCAACGTAAAAGGTTAGCTGCTCCCCAGAGGTAACAGCACAGGGGCTCAGAGAAGAACAAACTACCAGCACTGTCACCAGCTGAAAGGGGAATTTGAAAACTAATCTTGAAAGCTTGGAAAACGCATTGGAACTACGCAGACAGGTTATTGTTAGCTGTTATTACTCAGCGCTCCATTATGGAGAGGAGAGGGACTGCTGCCGTCGAGGGTGTTGGGTTGCCTGGACACCTGGTG